TAGTTAGTTAGTTAGTTAGTTAGTTAGTTAGTTAGTTAGTTAGTTAGGCTAGTTTTTATCATTTCCACTCACTGTGGGTCGGACGGGTTGATCAGACGTTGCAGATCTTGTAGGTGCTGTGAGACCAAGCCTGTTGGGTAAACGAAAATTTCAATTTGTCATTGTGGTAATGCCATGAAGGTAACCAATATAACTGACTGTAAATCCATTCATCTATTTTCTGTTCCCCTTTTTCTCAACGGGGTAGAAAAAGGGCTGTAACCTATCCCAGTATAAAATGGCCGAGAGGCGGGGTAAAATGCTGTAGAATTTCTAAACAGAAGTATCCTAGGATTTTTGCTGAACTATACAAATGTTAACCCCCCCCAGACACTCATTCCCCAATCTGATAAAGGAATTAATATCATCTGAATTAATATACGTTACCCTGGTTTTTGTTTTTGCAATAAATCAGAATGCACATGTTAAAATCTTTATTATTTTCCTCAATAATAACTTTATCACTAGAGGTACTACTGGGCCATGAATCCTGATCTCATCCTGTTTAAAAAAAAACATTTTGTTAAAAAGCAGAATGAAATACAGCTGTAATTAAGTCTGTCATTCTTACTTTGGGCACCTCCCTGCGCAGTTCTTCCTCCACCAAAAGAAGATCCAGTGCCACCGAAACTACTGCCACTTGATGTTCTCCCAGGGACACTTCCTGTCTTACTTTGCTCTGAGTTACTGCTCCCCATCCCAAACCAAGAGAATGCAGAGCCAGTTTTACTGCTTGACCCACTTGAGGTACTTGTTCCAGTTGACGTGGAGGATGACCCCAAACCAAAGCCTGAGGACGGTTTCCCAATTGATGTTGGTTTATTCAAACCTATCCCACTTGAGCTCAGACTAGGATTTGTTCCTGTTGACCCAGATGATGACCCAAAAGCTGTTGAGCCCCTCCCATTCATTGCTGGTTTGTTTATGTCTGTCCCACTTGAGCTAAGACTTGAACTTGATCCTGTTGATCCAAAGCTTGAAAAAGCTCCTCCAGTTGACCCTGGCTTATTGGAACCCAAACCACTGTTACTTAGGCTTGATCTGGACCCAGTGGATGGGAATAATGAGCTTGATGAACCTGCTCCAGTTGATACTGGCTTATTGAATCCTAACCCAGTGCTGCCCTGGCTTGTACTTGACCCAGAGGATGAAAACAGTGAAGTTGATGAACCTGCTCCAGTTGATCCTGGTTTATTGATTCCTAACCCAGTGTTGCTTAGACTTGAACTTGACCCGGAGGATGGGAAGAGTGAACTTGATGAGCCTGCACCTGTTGAAACTGGCTTATTGAATCCTGACCCAGTCCTAAAGCTTGAATCGGACCCTGTCCTACCCTGATTACTTAAAGTAGAAGAGCTGGATGATGAAGAGCTGGACCCAGCTCCACCCAAACTACCCCACCCAGTCTGCGTGTTTGGCCGGTAGCCAAAACTTGCTGAAGTTGTCTGTAAAATTGGAAAGAGAACATCAAGTTGAGAAAAATTGCCCCATCTATCTCATTTCTGTAACAGTTTAAACCTTTCTTAAAAAATCTAATCTCATGTAAGACCTGGGCTTTGAGGTAGCTCTATGTGATCTAAATAGTACAGTGGCACATTTCTTATCTGTCTATGAGGATGGCTACACGGTTGTTCGCTGTATGTCTCATGACATTTTACAGACCATTAAAATTGCAATGTTACCATGTACATATTCACACTTTAAGAAAGGTTTTGTTGAATGCATATAATTCTGTTAGATTCTACATCACACAATTAGTTCGGAAATTTAACAACACTCAAACCTTACTCAGACCTTTTTACATCTTTACATGATCAGGTATGGAAAGTCAGTTACCTTTGGTAAGCATGTCATGTTGAGCTGCCTTATTTGCTCTCTGAGATGATCCACTTCTGTGTTTTTATACTTAACACTGCTTTCCAGGACTTTTTTTTCTCCAATCAACTTCAACTTATCAATCAAGAGCTTCTCCTTGGCCTGATCATGATTCCGCTGAAGTTCTTCTCTGTTCTGTCTGTGCTGCTCGATCATCCCTGTGCGATTTTGGCTACACCAACGGTAGTCTTCAGATAGTCGCCAGTTTTCTGCCTTCAGGTGGTTGTTCTCTGCTTGGATGATCGACACCTCCTCTCCAACATTATTCATGTAATACTGAAGCTTCTCCTCTACTTCTCGAGACAGACTGGTGCAGTTACTACGGATCTGCTCTAGGTGATCCCTCTGTTTTGGGCAAGTGAGCTGGAAAGCAAGGTGTCTTGGGAGTAGAGAATCAATCTTCTTCAGGAAAGCTCGGGAGACATTGGAAACTGACTTCATGGAGTCATGAAAACGATCTTTTGTCATTTGCCTGTAATTTTGTATCTCTTTTTCCAGGATGGATTTGTCTCTCCTTAGATGGATAGCCTCTAAATTAAGGCTGTCCCTCTCCTTGACAATCTGCTCAGTTTCCATCTTCATACTCTGAACTGTTTGAGTGAAGTTTGACTCCAGAAGTGCATATGCAGCTTTCAATTGGTTAACTGCTACCCCACTGCAGTCCGAGGAAAATGGTTGCACTTTAAAAATAGCAAAAGAAAAGAGATTTATTAATCAAGTGAAAGCTGTTGCAATTGAATGCAATCTTAAAGAAAATGCTCAGATGTGTAATTTATCTTAATGTTTTGGGTTTTGTTTTGAAGAAATGTACTTACGTGGTGCCTGTGGACGAAAAGGAGTACTGCATCTGAGCTTTAAACCTAACGCCTCTGTATTGCACTGTTGCTGTTTGAAAAGTTGAAAGAAAATTAGGGATTCAGTTACATTACTTTGGTCATTTTAGACCAATCTGAGTTGTACAAAAACAGCAAAAAAATATCATATCTTCAATGAATTAAACATTTTTTCAGAAAATTATTACTTCAATATATTTGGATTTAATCTGTTGGAAGTGATCAAAAGATTAATTCAGTTGCTTACCAGTCTCCTATCATAATCGTGGATAATAAAGAATGAGACATTGCTGAGATGACGCAGATGAGCCAAGTCCCAGTCATTTCGAGCCTTTTCAGTGAGGGTGGCATTGAGAATGTTGGTCAGGTTTTTTCGCTGATGTCTCAGGGCAACATTTTCTATTGAGAGTCGACTGAAAGTCTCCTCTAGGTCTTGGATGTTTGTTGTGGATGCAGAGTCCTCATTCTTTCCATAAACCAGGAATAGCACAAGGCTAATTATAATGAGAGACTGAATCAGAGAAGAGAAAAAGAAGACAATTCGCATGTAGTAGCCGCAACTTTTGCCCTTTGAACGGTACTGCATCTTTTTTTGACCCTGTGGGCTCAACTTGTTGACCTGCGAGTAGCCACTGCTGTACATTGGTGCAGATGGAGAGTCAACAAAAAGGTATACTGTAGTCCAAGTCCAAAACTGATTTGAGCTGTTAAGAGCTAAGTTTACACAAAGTTCATCCCCAAATTAATGCAAAAACGAGCATCAGTGAAAAGATGATGAACAATTTAAAAACATCCAGAACAATTTAAAAACATCCAGAAGATTCTTGTAAAAGTATGCTTCCTCGTCCCATAGACAATCTGATTTGCAGATGTTGATCAGACTTTTCCTTACTGCAGTTCTAACAACAGAAAAAATGATTATGGATTTGGTATACACTGACACAGGAATTTATAAACTCTGGGCATACATTTCCTCTCTGGGGGAAGAGGTGGTGGTTTTCACTCTCCTCCCTCCGCTGGCTTTTCCTCCCGCTGCACATACACACGAACCCTTTTTAGTTTTAACGACATTGTATTGGAAACAGATCTTTATCTTTAGCTGTTTTCGGAATGGGTTTAAGGTATAAACATTATACAAAAATGCTTTCCAAACTCAATAAAATGGTCATTTCACAGGACAGACCTGTGCAGTTGATATAGATTTTCCCCTGTCTTCTGTTTATCCCTATGAAAAGCATTATAGCAATTTTCAAAGCATACATACACATAGACCTGTTGTTATTTTGCTGAGATTGTCATAGAAATTAATACAAGTCTTTAAAAAAATCAGCAAATACAATATCTGATGAAGTGCAGTTAAAACAGAACATATAATACAGCAACCAAAATCGTGATGCCAAAAATGAACAAAACTAAGAAACAGAATTAAAAAACACTAAATTTAGCAAAGGACAACAGAATAAGAGAAAGTAACATGTACAGAAAAAAAACATACAGAAACTTTATGGCCTGAAAATGATGAAAACGCATGTAAAAAAAATCTAATTTTAATATGTTGAAACACAGAACAAAAAACAGAACAAGAAAAACTCCTTTGACAAAACTTTTCTGCAAAATCAAAAACTTTGTGTTTTTCTATTTTGTCCATTTCGACAGTTTCTGCACTGCTTTTTAAAACAGTCTAATAATCTAACAACTGTGAGAAGTATGTATTTTACTTTTTGTTGTAGTAGTTTCAGGAAAATTATTCTATTTTAATTTTTATAATTACCAGTTTGTATGTACGTATGTTTAAAACATTTTATGTTTTCTAAAAATGTTGTTTTGTTTTTTGTTTTGTTTTCTTATTCCAGGTTTAGCATGTGTAGTGTGAGTTTTCAGTGTGTGTGGCTTCTCTATAAACCTGTCAAAAATATCTTTATGGCATCTTGTTTTTTGAGTCAAGCATGCAAAAGACAATAGGACACGCTTTTCCTCTGAAATTCTCACTCAGGCTCTTTGATGTTACTAGTCTCTGTCCAAAATGATGACGTCAATAACTTTTTCCTCTGTGCCATTGGACAAACACATATAAAAAAATACTAACCCGAAATTAAACCTAATTGTCCGATAGTGGCAGTGACCACTTTTCCTGCTTCACATTGTTGACGTGCTGAGACCAATCTTGACAGGAAGCTGTAACTCATGGCAGAACGGTTCATGGCTAGACCTTTTGAAAAAAATGATAAAGAATCATAGATAAAATGTAAAAAAAAAAAGCAGGATATTGCTGAAAATTAGGAAACATAAAGTGTAACAGTGTTGATTTGGTTTGGTAGATTTGAAGTGGTTTTATACGTGTACATCTAACTACATACGTACATACACTCACATACACATATACTGTTCTATGTCTTCTGTCCTCATTTCATCACTTTATCAAAAGAAATTCTCACTGAATGAAGTGAAGAAGTGAGGACAGAAGCCATAGAACAGTATATGTATATTGAGTGTATGTACGTATTTAAGTAGTTAGATGTTCACATATAAAAAAAACTGCAATTCTTTCCAAGCCAGTTGGTCGAATTCATTACTACATATTTGTAGGAATGCAGACATGGGCCCAATGTACAAAACCTAAACAGTGGGGGACTAAAGGACAAAACTATCAATTTTAGAAAAAGAACTAAATGTGTGACAAGCCAGATAACCAAACTAAGATTGAAACAACAAAATATCAAAAAGTAACCAAAAAAGTGTAGAAATGCAACCAAAGAAACCTGGGAACAAGTAGTCAAAGGATGATGAGCCAGGAAGGAAACAATGGAATAACAGAGACGGACAGCGTGCAAACAGAGACAACAGATGGGGATCTAATAGAGAGTGAGAGGAACCAGAAAGCTTGAATGCAGAGGAGGTTGTTTACTGATTGGAGGCCGCTGAGAACAAGAAGCACAGATGAAAGGAAGAAAGCCAATAACCAGGCAGAAAAGACACTGAGGAGAGTATGGGAAAAAATGGCAAGGATCAGAAAACAGAGACCAGAAGAATAAACCAATAACACATAAATAAGCAATAATCATCATTATATTTTTTCCCTTTTTTCTCTCTCTTTTTTTTATTTTTTATAAATGTGTAATATATGTTACATGTACAATATTACCATCAACAATCAATTAATTTAGAAACAACTTAGAATGCCAGATATGGGAGCAAGCCAGATCAGTACTACTCCCACACACCCATCTGAGGGCTTCTTTTGTTTTCCCACTTTAGACGTAATACAAGTTTACATTTACATTTTAGTTTAGTTCACAGTTTGTAGTTTGGATATCACAGATTACGGTAATGAGGAAACAGAGCTCCATTGTGTTGTCAATATTGAGGATATGAAATGTTCTGTAAGACACAGAGCAAAGTGAAGAGTGTTTATAGGGAGGGTTTCCTGTCAGCTCAAGTCTCTTTGTTGAGCATGAACTGTATGTCCCTGACATTAATCTAATACTTCCAATATCTGTCATCATTGAGCCAAACAATCCTATTGTTTGTGCACCATTATTAGAAGTTACATAAAAATCAAAACCACAAAAATTTAATTAACTTTGAGATAGTTGTCAAATGTTCTTCAGCAGCTAAAGCAGTGTAAGGTTTATACCTTTTGGAAATTTAGAGTTATATAGAGAAACAGGGATTCTTACTAAGGATTGTGGTACTCATTCAGCCATCAAAAGAGCCCACAAAAAATTGTAGCCATTTACTGTCTGCATTTCAGCTCCTTTCTCTGCCCTGCTATCTTTGTCTTTCTCCATCTGATGTCCACATATATTCATTATTTAGGATATCTGTATGTGTGGGAAAAATGTATGCACATAAAAATGAAACAATTTTATAAAAACCTATCCATACACGTTTAGCTATTTCATTTGATAGAATTGGGGACTTTTCAAAAGCACACCAATATTAGGCCAACACAAATTTGTCTTAGGTCAGCTTAAACCCAGTTCATTAGCAGATGAACAGCACAACAACAGGAAGAGTTGAGATCGAAGGACCAAAAAGAATTATTGGATGAACGCTTGGTTGGCTGTTACGTGTGGGCTGTATTGTTTCAGTACAAAAGCAGGGATCTATCAAAATCTTGTCATTGCATGTTTGTGAAAGTATGTGTGGGGAATAAACACAGGAGAACAATGGGAAAGAGTTATTGATGCTCAATGGACAGGAAGCTTACAGAAGCAACAGCTAGAGTCAGACACACTGTGTTTATAAGGAGGACATTTACAAGCCTTCCAACCCTCCCAAAGACTGGTCAATCAACAAACATATCTCCAATACTAAGGTCAGAGTTAGGTCACAACAGAAACTAGAGCGATTTATGAACAATGATGCCCTGCTCTCACTGGCTCATGTAGTTGTTTCTGAGTCTTCAGTACAGTTCACGGGGACAGAATGGAACAATAAAATTAGTATTCAGTTTCCCATAAATGTAGAATACCCCAAAAGAATAGTGGATAAATGTTTTGCAGACACATTAAACCAAAATGAGATATTATGATGAAACCATTTGATTGAAAAAAATTATATTGAAAGCAGCTGAAGACAAAAAGCTCAGATGAAAGGACCAGAGCCAATAACCAGGCAGGAAAGACATTGAAATGTATAACACCTATAGGAAAAAATATTCTGCATTTTAGCTTATAATGTGAGAGCTAACCAGAGTTCATAGAGCTTGAGGACATTTCACCCCTATTCCAAAGCACTTCTTCAGTTCTAAACTAGATGACGGTGATCATCAGCTATCAGTCATTCTCAACTGTATTACCTGTCTGAAAGACAGAATGGTATACAAGATGTAAACTGTTGTAAGCATACCTAGGGACGAAGGATAACAAGCACTGTAAGTGTTACTTTTCAGTTAAATATATATAGCTTCCATTACTCCTGTCTCACATCAACTCTTTTCTCTGAACCATCCACAGCACAATCAGCATCAGATACAGAAAAAGGTCCTTCTGTCTATTGGAGTGTCACCAATAGAAAAGAGTTCCTGACTTGGCCAGTGTTACGGCCCCTGGCCTCATGAGGCTGTGCATGCTCCTTTTCTTTTGTTATGCAGGACCAGCTGTGATAACAACTCTTCTGATTGGCTGCCTGGAAGCTGCAGGAGTCGCACACCATTGGATCAGCAGAGCATGGCAAGACAATCAGATGCTGATGAGCCTCACCTGTACCTTTAAAAGGCTCCTGAAACAGTCCTTCAGGAGGGACAGCTAGTAGGAGGAGGTTCTGTAAAGCTGTTCCCCTACCTCTTGTTTGCTACTGCTTTGTAGAACTCTTGGAACTTTTGTTTGTTACTGCTAAAGCAGTTTGATTGTGTTTGCTGCTACAAGCTTGTGCTAGGGAGGTTTGGTGCCCCCTTTTGTCTTCTGTTTTGGATTGTTTTGAGTTACCTTTAGACTGACTTGTTTGAACTTTTGTAACTTAATTTGCACTGCGCATTCTTAAAATTGGTTAGTCAGTTTCTTTTGTTTCAATTGGGTTATGTTGTACTGTGTTTTGGTTCTGTGAAACCCTTTTTTTGTAATAAATCACCTCTTTTACTTAATTCCTTTTCTCTGGACATTTTTATGTTACCGCCCCTGGACCCCTAGACCTTGGGGGCGTAACAGCCAGTCTTTGAAGAGTTTGCATGTTCTGCCAATGCAAGCATGGGTTCTCTCTTGACACTTTCCTCCAACCATCTTAAAGCACACAAAATGTGTTTTTCAGCCTTGGAGTGAGTGTAAGCTTGGTTGTTTGTCTCGTTTGTCCCTGTTTGGCCCTGTGATGCAGTAGCCACCTGTCTAGGATGTACCTTAGCTAACAATCTCCATGAGTCCATATTCCCTCTGAGATCATTTTAATAGAACTTATGTCTTGCAGTAGCCAATCAACCTAAGAATCA